TCCCCCCCCCGGCCCGTGTTACCCATCTCGGGGCTCAAAGCCGAGGACGAGGCTGTCTATTACTGTGGTGGCTGGGACAGCAGCAGTGCTGTTGAGCAGCCAGATGCCCCACAGGGCACCTACGTTTGGGACCCCTGGGTGGATCATCACTGCCTGCAGTGCCTTGGTGGCAGTGATCCTGAGGGCAGTGCTGGAGGACTGAGGTGGCACAGGTCCTGGTGGTGAAGGTGGTGTGGCTGTTGCTCCTGTCTAATATTGTCTTATCCTGTGACTGGTCCTGTGGCCCAGGGAAGTGGGGAGAAGCCCAGCCACCGTCTGTGGGCATCCTGCTCTGGGCTCCCTGTCACTTCAGGGCTGATGCCCACCCTCCACTGTTGATATCACCCGTGCCTAAGGGCACTTTGTACAAAAGGTTCTCCTCTGTGACCATGGTCTGCCTTGGGCAGGGTCTCGTACAAAAGCTGTGGAAGGTGGGGCGGGGTCTGGAGATATCTCTGGTCTTGCTGGAAACTGTGGTAGGGGTGAGGGACTGCAAGGGCTGAGTCCTGTGCCGAGCTCCGCTCCCGTCTCCTCTAGTGCCGTCCCCGAGGGCCTTCTTGTCCCCACACGGTGTCAGTGTGGCCCCGTAGCACAGCCCTGAGGTTCACGGCGCTGCCAGGAGGAGGCAAAGGGGCTGGGGACAGCCAGGTGGCAGCATGTAACAGCCAGCGGAGCCCTTCGGGTGCTGCTGTGGCCCGTGCTGTCGCCAGGTCGCAGAGGGGCTGTCCCTGGCAGGGTGGGTGTGGGAGGATGATGTGGCACTTGACTGGAGGGAACTCCAGCCGAAGCCTACTCGTGGTTGCTGCGAAGCCACTGGAGAGCCCAGTTCACTTTGCAATTGCAGGATCTGGGGACTTTTGTTTCCTTACTGCTGGGTAGCTGTGGCACTCCTGATCTCCGTGTGGTTCCAGTGCCCTTCAAAGTCCCACTTCCCTGCACTGCAGCTCTCTCGTGGCACTAAACAGAGGTCGAGCTGTGACACCTTCCTTAGAAGCAAGACCTGGCTTTCCCAGCTCCTCTGTCACTGCAGCTGAGCAGCATGTGGGCAGCACAGCCCCCCCAGGGACCAGCAAGTGCTGGGCCAGGATGTGGCTGCACTGGGCAGGGGGAGCAGGAGACAAGACCTACCAGTGAGTACCGGGGGGACACATTTCCATGGAGAGTCCTTGCCCAGACACACAGGGGCTTAAGAGGGAGTGGAGGTCCACGGCACAGCCCCATCAGCGTGGGGAACTGGTGGGATTGCACCATGGCCTTGTCCTCCTCCTCCTCGCGGTGCTCGCCCACAGCTCAGGTGCCCTGGCCAGACTCGCTGGGCCCGGCCGGGCCTTTGGGCACAGGGCTCGGGTCCCCGTCCTGCTGCCCGGGCAGGGCTGTGCCCATGGGGCCCTGGCTGACCCACATCTTCTCCCCTCTCTCCTCTCCCTCTGCAGGTTCCCTGGTCCAGGCAGCGCTGACTCAGCCGCCCTCGGTGTCGGCGAACCCGGGAGAAACCGTCCGGATCACCTGCTCTGGTGGTGGCAGCTATGCCTGGTTCCAGCAGAAAGTGTCTGGTCGTGCCCCTGTCACTGTGATCTATAGTAACACCAACAGACCCTCGGACATCCCTTCACGATTCTCCGGATCCCAGTCTGGCTCCACGGCCACGTTAACCATCTCTGGGGTCCAAGCCGAGGACGAGGGTGACTATTACTGTGGTAGCTACGACCGCAGCACTGATGCTGCCACAGTGACACAGAGCAGTGGGGAAGGGATACA